ACTTCATTAATTTCATATTTTATCTGCAATTGGTTGATAATGTCTGTTATGCTCACTTCCCTTTTGATAGAAGTTTAAGTTTCAATATGTTTTAGACAACTTATTAATGGAATGTAAGAAATCTACATATGTAGTTAATCTTTTTTTAGTAAAAAAATATATTTTTGATAGGTACCAGAAAACTGCTTGAAAATCACTCATAAAAAAGAATTTTAAAAAGATTTTTTACAAAGAAAACAATGTTATAAGTTGTGTTAAAGGGATAAGTGGGAGTTAACATCTCTCTTAGCTTCAGTGAACCACTCTCCTGGTTTTTCTCCTGCTTGTGTATTCTCATTCTTTCACTGGGTCCTCTTCCTTTACCTGATTTCTAAAGTTTTGGGTTCCTCAGGACTCAGTTTTGAGTCCACTTCTCTCTTGACACCATTTTCTTATGGAATGTCAATAATGCCCATGGTTACAAATGGCATCTTTGTTGATAAACTTGACTAAAAAATACCTTCACATAGCAAATGGAAACAAAACAACCAAAAAGGAAGTAAAAAGACAAATGACACACTGGCTTAAAGAAACTGCATCTTAAATCACAAAAAATTAATACACAGAGTTTCTTAAAAGTAAAAAATAACCAATAATCCTATAGAAAAATGGGTTAGAGATAAGAGCAGACAAATCACAGGAAAAGACGCAAATTATCCTTTAAAAAAGTTTTTCAAAAAACAAATGATCTAATCAAAAAATAAGCAGAGGACCTGAACAGACGCTTCTCTCTAGAGGACATACAAATGGCCAACAAATATATGAAAATATGCTCAACATTGCTAGCTATTGGGGAAATGCAAATCAAAACCACGATGAGATACCATCTCACACCTGTTAGAATAGCTATAATCAACAGCATAAGTAATAAATGTTAGAGAGGATGCGGAGGAATAGGAACCCCTATACACTGCTGGTGAGACTGCAAATTGGTACAGCATAGAGGTTCCTCAAAAAACTAAGAATTGATCTACCATATAATCCAGCAATTCCTCTACCTGGTATTTGCCCCAAAGACTTGAAAACTAATATCCAAAAAGATATTTGCACACCGATGTTCATAGCAGCATTATTCACAGGGGCCAGGACATGGAAGCAACTGAAGTGTCCTATGATAGATGATTGGCTAAAGAAGCTGTGGTACATATATACAATGGAATATTACTCAGCCATAAGAAGAGACGAAATACTGCTATTTGCCGTAACATGGATGGACCTTGAGATAATCATGCTAAGCGAAATAAGCCAGACAGAAAAAGTTGAAACTCATATGCTATCACTTATATGTGGGATATAAACCTAAAAGCAACAAATGAGCAGGATAGACAGAGACTCATGGACATGGACTAGAGGCTAGTGGTTACTAGTGGGGCGAGGGAGGAGGGAGAAGTACACAGGGTAAAGGGGGTTAAATATAGGGTTTAGGGGGAGGGTGAAGTGTGTAAAGGGGATGAAATATATGGTAGCTGAAGGAAACTGGACTTTGGGTGGTAAACACACAATAGAATATACAGATGTCAAATGATAATGTACACTTGAAAATTATATAATTGTATTAACCAAAGTTACCCCAATAAACTTAATTTAAAAAAAAGATGTTCTACCTCATTTATTCATGATAAGAGAATACACATTAAAACTACACAATGATACCATTTTTATCACTTACCAGGTTGGCAAAATTCCAAAACTTGGACCACATACTGTATTGATGAAGTTATAGGAAAGTGAGCACTCATATGTTGCTGGTGGAAATATGAAATAGGAACAAAGTTATAAAAGGGAATTTACCAATAGCAAAAATACATATGCATGTATACTTAGACACCAAATTCTGCTTTTAAGAATTTAGCCCAAAGATCACAGGCAAAACTATGAAAAGGCACATGCACACAGCTATTCATGGTAGCACTATTTATAATGGTAAGCCTTGAAAACAACCTAAATGTCCATCAACAGCAGACTGGTTGAATAAATTATGGTACACTCACTCAGTGGAGTAGGGTGAATAACTTAAAATGGTCAATTCAGAACACAGCCATACAAGGGGAAAAAAGATATGTAATAAATATACACGTCTTATTACTTTAACCAAAAATGAAAAATAGATGTTTATTTGAAATTACATATTGTATATTTAATTGTTATTTAAATGCAGTTATTTAAACAATAGAAATAGTTAACAGTGATAATTATTAGTAAAAGCAACTAATGAAAAATATGTGTGAGAAAAATATAACTATATTTATAATGATATATTATGAACAGTGTACAGAGGACAATTATATATTGTCTTCTAATACAGGAGTTTAACTTTTTTATAACTTTACTGGATTACTGCGTATTCTTAAGACACACATGTAAGATTTTTTTAAAAGATAATGTAAAAACATTGAAGTAAATTGAAATTACCTATACTTAATAAAAAAAAAAATGGTTCTTTCCATCACATGATACAGTAGGATATCTTCCTATTTCCTTTTCTGAAAGCATTTCTCTGAACTGTCTGCAGCTTTTAGGATATACTTAATTTCTTTATGTAGTGGTAAAACTGAATACAGTCAAATGTAAAATTCACTTCGACAGCTGGTTTTATCAAACCCATGTTACAGTAGTTTCTGGTGTCAGTACTGTATGATGACAACAAGCTAAATTTCCTCTCAAGTGTTTAAGCATGGAATACTTAAAATTTTACTAGTCAAGATTTAGACTCCTGTAAATTAGTTTCCAGCTCTTCAAAAGTATCCATCAACTATGTATCTATACAGGCTTGTTTAGGGAGACCAACTATTTGTCAATCAATTCCTGTGCATTCATTTATTCATCAGGTAGTCTATCTAATGTCTAAAATGTCCATCATTTTCAACACTATGAAGCATATAGGATGTCAGACATTAAACTCTCTTTCTCAAGGAAAAGGGTTTCTATAGCAGGTTATTAGAATTTGTGAAAATTCCAATTTTAAATAAATTACAATTTTAGTAAAAAAATTAATAAAAACCTGCTTCACTTGACTGCCTTATTCAAGTGATTTCTTTCTTCCTTCTTCCCTTTCTTCTTTTTTCTTCATCTTTTTCTCCTTTTGCTATATTGGTTTCTGTCATAATCTACACATAATACTTAATACCTTAGACACAGTCATTCCATCCTTTTCTAGATTTTGTAAAGATTATCAAATGGTTTTCGAGAAACAATATAAATTTCTGTTGTAATTCTTTTCCACATTGTCATTAGTGTATTTAGTGAGTACCTACCATATGCCAATCACTGCCCTAAATGCTGGGGATACAGGTTCAATCGAAATAGTTCCTGCTCTTAGGAAAATTATTTTGTGAGACATAAAGATGTATTTTTTATATTTTTAAAATTAATGTTATTGAGGTTTGACTTGCAAACAATAAAATGCACACATTGTAAGTGTATATTTCAATAAAACGTTATGAATGTACTCACCCATATAACTATCACCATAAACAAGATACAGAACATTTCCATCCTTAGATCACCTAGCTCTATCCTTCCTTGACTCCCCACTCCAGCCTCCAGCAGTCACTATTTTCTAGCAGTGCAGTTTAGATTTGTCTTTTTTAGTTCCATATAAATAAAATCATACTTTCAATCACACTTTTCCTCTGCTCAACAGAACTTTTTTGAGACTCGTGGTTTTGCATACCAAGTAGTTCATCCTTGTTCATTGAAAATTACTTTTCATTATATTATATGGATATGCTCCAAGTTCTTTACCTATTCACCAGCTGAACATTTGGGTTGTTCCCAGTTTTTGACAATTAACAACAAAGCTATTGGACGTGGTTCCATAGCATAGCAGTTAGCACATCCGCTTTACATGCAGAAGGTCCTGGGTTTGTGCCCCAGTGGAGCCACGGTCCATGGTCTTTGGCCATGCCACCCTGAAACAAGCCCCATGTCTGATCGCGAAAGCTAAGCAGGGTGGGGCCTGGTTAGTACTTTGATGGGAGACCACCTAGGAAGACCTGGTGCTGTAGGCATAAATAATAATAAATAATTTTTAAAAATCTATGAAAATTAATGTACACTTTAATTCCTAAGGAAACACCTAGAAGTAAAATTGCTGGATCATATAAATGCATTATTAACTTTACAGTAAAAGACAAGTTGTTTACCAAAGTGGTTGGAACCATTTTGCATTCCCATCAGAAATACGAGAGGTCCAGGTGCTTCACATCCTAGTCAACATTTGGTATCCTCTTTTAAATTTTAATGGGTATGTAATGGTAAAGATGCATTTCTTACCTGCGCCAGTCTACTTAGTAACTCCACTTTAAAACTAATCGTTTTATTAATAATTTTTTTTTAAAATCTAAAACATTTAAGAGTTTGGTAGAAAATGGCTGGTTTGACAATGCAGATAATTTGTTTCTAACTTTTTCTCACGAAATCCCCACGCACTCTCCAGTAAACATAAATCTGGTGTTAGGCAGCTCTAGATAGGTAGAGAGCTCTAGGAGCCTGGCTCTTCATTCAGGACTATAACTTCTAGAGTCTACACTTACTTCCATTGTTTCCTTGAACCCTCACGTCACATTTCTAAGAATTTCCCAGGGAGCCGCGCGGGGCGGGCTCTACAATCCCCGAGGCTCCGCCCCTTACTGGGATCCGCCCACTACCCCAGGACGCGGCCCGAGTCTGCAAAAGGAAGAGAGCTTCCGGTCTCGCGATTGGCTTTCCTCCCGCGAGAAGAAAAGACGGCTGCCATCGGCCCAACGTTGGCGGAGGCGAGGGAAGGGGTGTGGCCGGGGAGTGTGAGTCCCCCGGAGTGAGGGAGAGGGGGCGGGGTCGCGCGCGCACCGGGCGTACGCATGCGCGCACGCTGCCGGTCGGACTGAGCTGATAGGGGAGGGGGCGGCGGCGGCGGCTAAGGAGGCGTCGTTTTTTCCGTGGTTTGGAAGGTGCGTGGCGGCGCGGTTGGCCATGGGAGAAGTGGGTAGGGACCGCCCGTGTGGAGCCATTGATACTCCCTCTTTTCTGGCTCTGAAGGCTTCAGCCCCCCGCGCGTGTGGCGGACCCTAGGGACGTCAGGTCACCCTGCGGCCCCGGCCCTCCTGCCGCGCTTCAGGTAGGAGCCTCGGGCTCCTGAGTGCCCTCTGCCCGCCAAGGCCCTCGCCTTGACCGATGTTACCGGGGCGACGACCCGCACCCAGCGTGCCCACCCTCTCGCTCGACAACAGTCTTGTCCTTGCTTTCGCGCCCTGTGGAGCCGGGAACAGGGCCGGGTCGGTCGGCCAGGGTGGGACCCCGCCTCAGGTGCGCTCCGGCTCTGGGCCTGGCGGGTGGGACCCTGCAGTGCGCTCCCGCACGCCGTGCCCCTCGGCGAGGCTGTGCTGGGGTCCTGCCCAGTCTGAGACAGGTTGGCCCAGCAAGCTCCTGGCAGGTGAGGGACCACTTTGACTTGAGTAGTTGGCTGCATGGAGTACTGAAGAGTGCCTTGGTCACTTGTGGCCTCTGTTGAAAGTTGGAATCTCTGGAGTTGGTTTTGTTTGGGCCAGTGGTGAGGTGTTTTGTCATTTTTCTTAAATAGTGGGATGGCAGACTCTTTATGAGCTCTAATGGGTGGTGGGCTAAATAAGTAAATAAGCAGCAGTAGTGTTACATTAAAGTGAGATTTAATTGCAGTAAGGTATGTTTTTCCAGTACGAGCCTCAGACTCGGAAGAGTTCTGCTTAAACAGTTCAGTAAGATTTTCATCCAGCGCTTGAACACACTTGGTTTGCAAATACCCTTGCCCTGAAATGTACATCCTCTATTTTACACCAGTATTAATTTTATAGGCATAATGGTTATGAAAGCTTCTGTAGAAGACGATGATTCAGGATGGGAGCTCAGTATACCAGAAAAGATGGAAAAAAGTAATACAAACTGGGTGGACATAACCCAAGATTTTGAAGAAGCTTGTCGAGGTGAGTTTGAATATTTGGATTAGGAGTTCAAAGTCTGGGAAAAGATAAAATAAAATCTTGATTGTGATTTCTGAACTGTCTCAATAAATTAAATCAATAGGTAAGTGTGGTTTATTGAGTTTATTAACCATATTTATTCATTCTCTACCCTCTAATTTTAACTTTCATTTAAAGCCAGGATATATGAAATATAGCATTAAATACAAATGTTGAGGCAATTTCTTCTATTAAATTTTCCAACTTTAAAGATTAGAGAGTACATAGCAATAATTTTAAATTGTGGAACCAGGAATTCTGTTGACCTAAAGATGGTTATATTATTGTATATTTAGGATTCGAAAATGATCAGATTATGCGACTCTGCTTGAGATCCTCTAGTGGCTTCTTGTTGCACATGGAATAAAGTCCAAACTTATTCTCCAAGTCCTTTATGATCTAGTTTCTGCCTACCACTCAGACTTCATTTTCTTACCACTGACCCACTAGGCTCCCTGTGTTCCTCACGAGTCCTTCCTATCTCATTAAACACTCCAAGGTGCATATTTTGTTTACTCTATCTTAAATTGCTTTGCCCCTAGGTCTTCACAAAGCTCTCTCCTTCCTGACCATTTAAATGTTACCTCTCCAGAGAGGACTTGTCAGAACAACCAGTCTAAACAGAGTCACCCCCTCATTTTCTTCTTTTTAACTCCAGTTCAGTTGAATCACCCTGCTTATTTTCTTCATAGCACTTATCTATTGTCAGAAATCATCATTTTCAATTATTTCTTTTTTATTGTCAGTTTCACCCACTGAAATGTAAGCTTTGAGTGCAGAGATCTTATCAGTTACCTTAGCATGCAGAACATTTCCTGGCACATAGTAAGTGTGATAAATGATTGGAGAAATGAACACGTTTGTTGGTTTGAGGTGAGAGTCTTAGCAAGGGGGAGATTGAAGAGGAAGGAACAAATGATAGAGTGAGAGCTTGAACTTTTAGAGAGGATGGGATCAAGAACATGATAAAGAAATTAACTCAGGGGAAAAGAATAGGGACATACTGAGACTGGAGAAACAGGTTAGGATGGTGAAGATACAAGTATATTTTTAAGTAGATAGGGAAAAATGGTGGAGGGATTCTACCTTGATGGCTTCTATTTTCTTAGTGAACAAGAAGGTTAGGTCTTTGGTGATGGTGAGGTACAGTATATTTAGACTAGTGCTGTTAAGGAGCGGAATAAAGACTTGGAGCAGCTTCAAGTGGAAAGAGCCAGTTGAAGGAAAGCAGAATGATAAATCATGTGCCTATCCTTCTATTCTTTTAAAGTACATGTCCAATTAAAGTATGCCTAAGTGAGATAGTGGAAGAAACATCAGTCTGGGAGTTGGGTGACTGCCCATTTTATGTCTGTTTAAGAGAGAGAGAAAGAAGTATAAGTTGCAGTGTAGTTTTTGTGCTCAGAGATCTTAGACTATTAAGTGGATCATACCTATCATCTTGCCCTGATTTTAAGTGATCTGTATGAGAAGGCTGTCATTATGAACCTAAATAAGAAAGGTTTTATGGCTTGAGTTAGGCCTTAAAGAATGGTCGAGTTTCTCTTAAGTAAATGTGAGACAATTATTCTAGACCGAGATGAACCATCAGAGCCAGAATAAATTCATTGAGAGTTGTATATTTGAGGAACAGTGAATACTTCTTCCTTCTCCATGGAAAAAGTTTAGAGTAGGAGATAGGATTTAATCTCTGCTTCATTGTGGATTGAGAGAGGCTGGCATGTCATTTTGTTGTCAACATCAAACAATCCTATTAACTTCCATAATTAGCACTTGCACTGTTTCAGGTGGCACAAATGTGGAGTATACTTCTTGAGATTAAAAAGTGGATATAGAATTTTTCCTTTACGTGTAGATTTAGGACTAAAGGATTTTGGCAGCTCTTGAACTTGTGGTTATTAATAATTTGTTTTCCTCTGTTGAAATAATCAGATTCATTGCCTAGATTATAGTTTAGGTTTCTGTTCTAGCAACTTTCTGAAAACTAAATTTAAAATAGAACTCATTGCATCTTTTTCTTTAACTATTACAGTGGTTTCTCTTCAGTGACAGTGTAATGGCATTTGGGTAGACTTTAGTGATTTGGTGCAGGTATGGTAAAATAATCTGCATATGGATGGCAATATTTTTTCATACACATTTCTATTTATTCTTTTAGTGGCTCTTCAAAGTACTCTGGATCAAATTCTGATTTTTATCATTTATTTTCTACTATGCAGATGGCACACATTCCCCTCCACGCTTCCTATAACCAAGTTTTTTTCTTTGCAAATTATTTTGAATGTGTGGCGCCATCACTGTTATTTTGCCTGATATGTAATATATCATTTATCTAAAGGACACCTCTGAACTTTGCTTCTCTAGGAAACCTTGCTTAATTAAAACCATCTCATTTTGCTCCTGTAAAATAGTCTCTGTGCTTCATATTCCATTTGGTTGTCTATATTTAGGTACTTCCTGAATTACTAACCCACAGTTTAGAATTTTCATTTAAACATAAATGATCATAAAATATACACAGCTCCTTCTTCCACCTGCCAGATTCCCTTCTTCCACATGCTCCCAGGATAGCCAACAACCCCTCCTAAACACCATTAAGTGTCTAGAACTCAGAGGTGATCCAAGGTCAGCTAGCACTGCTTCCATTATTTTTAAGCTCTAGTCAAGGAGGATATGGACCCTTCCTCTTATCGCATTTTCTTCTCTAATGGCTTAGTTCATTCTTCCTTAGTCAGTCTTTATTACAGGTACCATTGTTTAAGACCCCCATATACATCCAGTTTCTTCAGCTCTTACCCAGTACTTTTGGAAAACTTTTATTCTCTTCCTTCTTTTGAAATCTAGGTTGCTTAAGCTTCTTATTTCTCTTCCTTTCTCTTTTGTCTTCTCTCACCCAGAACTTTTATATATATTAATACAAATATATATATTTGTTTTAAGAATAAATGAATATTATAAGGCCATGTTTCTTCAAACCAGAAAATATCTGGATCTTGGACTTTAGAAATTTGAGAATCACTGCATTACATTAAATGCTGTCATTTTGGGTGACTTCTTGGAATCAGCATAATGATGACCACAGCTTGGGCACTCAAATTGTAGCAATACTTGATTATAACGTTATTATCCAGTTAGTTTTAGAACATGTTTCTGTAATCTTTTTAAAAGATTATCATTGAACTGATTACATAACATTTAACAATTATAGAAGAAGTATAGATTCTTGATAAAACTTTAATGGACTTTTGGTCTTTCATCCCCATCCATGAACACCATTTTTAGAATCATTGTTTTAGGAATTTTCTGTTAGCGCTTTATTCTGAGAAGAGAAAGATGGACAGAAATTGTCCTGGCGAAAGATCTGGGCAACTTGAAAAGTATTTTAAGTGATTATGGTTTTAGAAGTGAAAAGTGTTTCCTTCGTTCCCTGCTGTCAAGAATATTTTCAGTGGTGGGCATGGATTGGGTAGGCAGCTGGTAATTGTGGATCACTGGTGGTAATTTTGGATACGCTGTTAATTGTGGATCACTTTAGATCTATGGTTTTCCACCGGGAGTGATCTTGACCCTCAAGGGACATTTGCCAATGTCTTGAGATGTGTTTGGTTGTCACAGCGAAGGTAGGGAGAGCTACTGGCATCTAGTGGGTACACACCCTAAGGATTCTGCTAATCATCTGATGCACAGGATAGCCCTTATGAAAAAATTATTTTGTTCAAATGTCAGTAGTGCTGCTAGTTCATTTAGATTACTTGTAGAATGTTTAGTTAGCATTTAATGTCTGTGACCCTGGATTCCTCAGGAATGGAACATACAGATGTTGGATGTCTTAACACCTCTAACAACTAGCATTAACATAGAGCAAGCAGTAGAAGGGAATGGGACCTTTGATGTACTTTGAGAGCTCTTCTGCATTGTCAAGTTCAACTTACCAGGTTTTCCCCGAATCTCGTATTGTGTATTCTGCTTTATGTTAGGAGTTTTGGTCAATAGAGAAGGTATCCTCAGAAGTCACCACTTTCCTCCTTTCAGCTGGTTATTTTGCTATTCATGATTCTAGATAGTATGCTTTTATTGCTACTTCTTGATTCCCCCCACTGCCAATTTAGGCATTATCTATGGACTTTCCCTCCAGTTACACTATGGATATACAGATTTTATTCATAGTTGAGCCCACGAGTAAAACTTATTACCTTACCCTTCCTGCACAATTCTTCTGTTTTACACAACTTTTTTTTTACCCAAAAGCTATGTACTTATCATTAATTTTAACTTAGACTTTTTACAAGTTGTCCAAATCTCAAGATATTCATACACATCAGACATTCTATCATAATTATCTCCATTATTATCCTGGCTGCTTAATTTACTCCAATATGGATGTGTTTAGCTCTTTGTACCTAGTGTTATCCTGAGATCTTTTTTCATCATCAGCCTGGGGTTTCTGTTTTCCTCATTGTTTTGACTAGATATCTTTTTTATCTTCCTGAGTAAAGTACATGGGAGATACAATTTGTAGAGGCCCTGGATGTCTGAAAGCGTCTTTATCCTCCCATTTTATTGATAATACATTTTGGTATTTGAGAATTTTAGGACCTTGCCCATCGATGTATTGTTCTGATGTTACTATTAAGAAGCTTGATGACATTCCGATTCCTGAGCTTTCATATGTAACCTTTTATTATCTTCTGTGTGTCCTCCATGTCCAGAATTTTCACAGTGGTTTGCTTTGTTGACAATTCTGGAGCCCTTACACTTTATCTGATCTCCAGTTCTGGGAAACCGTCTTGAATTACTCTACTTCCTCTTTGTTTTCTCTGTATTCTCCTTATAGAGTGTCTTGTTTTGGGGTTATTGAACCTCCTAGGCTGATCTTCTGTGTTTTTCCCCCCTTGTTTTTACTTGCCTTTTTCCATCAAAAGTGCTATGGACTGAATGTTTGGGTCCCCTAAAATCATATATTG